TTTCACGAAATAACACGCCACCAAATATCTGTGGGTGTGCATGAAACCGCTGACGAAGCTGAACTGGGCTGAGGGAGGCACCTGAGCTCCCTCGAGGCTACGCTGCTGTCTTTGACTGGCTTTGTTTAAATAACACTGCACTAGATATTTAATGAATCCACTGGTTAACTGGTTCATCCGGTACTAAGATGACCAAATGTGGGTTCAAAGGACCGAATATTCCGGTTCTGAAGGTCCAAATAATTCGGTTTCGAAGGACCAAATAATGTGGGAACCGACCTGTGAGATTTATATTTATTTAATTTATATGAATTTATATTTACGTTAATTTATATACTTCGATAGCAATTTGTATAATGATAAGTGGACTGTATTTCTGCAATAATCTCATAATCTCACAAATCGATCCTCTACACATTAGGGGGGTTTATATTTATATGTATGCAGCCAATCAAACTACAGTAACTACATACATTGAAGAGGTTCCTTATCTTATAGTACAGCAGGTTAGTCCACCAGGTATAACTAGGGTGTAGACACCAAATTATCCTCTTTGAGGTAGCTTCCATATCACCCAGTAACTGGTGCACAAATCTTGCTTCCTCGTCTTGACCTGTCAAAAGTGCGCTAGCTGTGAAGCCAGAATCCTATATATGACAAGTATATCAGAGAAAACAGTACATGGAACATGAAGACCTGGCTTAATTACCTTTAGTATGAGGCGATTTCGCGTTCTAACCGGGTCACCCTATATAATGACATTAATGGCCACTAATGATAGATAATGGGTTTCGGAAAGAACACTTAACTTGATTTGTTGACAGCGTGTTGACAGATGGTACACCTTTGGTATCCATAACACTACGTCCAAGTAAAATTAACAGGAGCCGAATTTGCTCCCGTGTGAGCCTCTGGTCTCTATATAAACAACAATGGCTGCCCTCCTTCCTCCCTGACGCCTGGCTTACATTGTCCACATTTCAGAAAGTGATAGAAGGGTCACATTTACTCTACTTTAATATTGATAATTAAGTTAATTTATATAAGATGTTTTTATGATGGTAAAGTCCAAAGACTAATGTATTTAAGAACAATTCCCAGCAGAATAGCTGGTGAATTATAATAGTATGTGGTGATGATATCCCGTTTTCTTTAGATGGTAATTCCACTACAAGTTACGTTTTCTATGGGTAACTTGTTGGTAATACAGCTATTATCTGTATGATATATTAAATGGTGTCGGATTTTCCGACACATCACAAATTTTGTCAGTGTCAGCTAGCCAGGATGAGTCTCTTCACCAACTGTTACGAACCCGGCTGCATCGTCGGAGTATGAAGTAGCGACGTCAGTGCCATCTGTGGGTCAGCTCCCCAACCCCCTCAGTATCGGACGTAAAGTGGACAATGCCATCTGGTGGTGGCTGTCCGATACCTGCAAAAGGCTCAAGATTCCTGCCTTGGTCAACCATAGGAGTCGCTGTGGCTGACCTCTGGTGAGGTGGCGACTAGAAATTCGGCGCCATCTGTTGTGATATGAGCTGTATGTCAATGCCAGAGTCAGTAAGTGGTATTTCCTAGTTTCACAAGTACCGGCCAGTTTACTGATGACGTGTTTGTATCCACTGAGGCGACGTAGGGCTGCTGTGGTATAGAGACAGGTAGTGTACCCTGGGCAGCCTTATCTCTCTCTACTTAATTCTGCTTGACGACTAGGTGAGCCGCCGCCGAAGAGGAACTGTGTGGTACCTGCTGTCTGCGAGTGGAGTGGCAGTGGAAGAATTCGGCGTATCCCGGGACTGGCTGGAAGGAGAGACGACCGACAGTGAGGTGCTGTTGAGGAGCGTTACTAGCCCGTCGCTAGAGACTCCTGCCAAGGGTTAGCTTCCCCTGTATTTGTTCGTGTAGAGGCCGATCAGCGCGAGGCTGAAGTTCTCTGCCAGCATCAGGCTGGAGAGTGATTGTGGGCGTTCACAAGGAGCACCTAGTGGGACTGTAGATATGCTGGCCCGTGGGTAGGGTAGACTCGTTGGTGTTTCCCAGTACTGGTTGAGGACGGTACTGTGTGTTGAGGAAACACGGAAGTTGACAAAGGCTGCATCGCGTTAGCATAGAGGAGCGCTTAGTGTCCAATGTGAGAGCGACACATGTAAATATCCACGTGTAGTAATATTAGTTCATTTTATATTTAAGGTGATTGGAAATTGGTAATAAGTTAAGTGAATATATTGATAAAGGATGAAGTGTTGTGTTCATTTCAGCTCCCCCAATTTTATTACTTGCATTACCAAGCCTACTCCTTGAAAGTCACTACAGACTTTGGGTCGGATAGTGGTACTTTGGGTCATAGATCAAGACCCCGGTTGCGACCCATGGTGGCCGTGACTCCAACTAACACCCGTAGCCACTCGTCAACACACAAGTATGCAACACTCGTAAATCATTATACCACAACGAGTTAGACCGCTAAAACGACACTTGCCATTCATTTACTTAATACGCAATACTTAAACACTTTACAGGAGCATCTTGAGCCTTGGGGTGGGTGCTGGACGCCGCCTCGCCACAGTGTGGGTGCTGGACGCCGCCTCGCCACAGTGTGGGTGGGTGCTGGACGCCGCCTCACCACAGTGTGGGTGGGTGCTGGACGCCGCCTCACCACAGTGTGGGTGGGTGCTGGACGCCGCCTCACCACAGTGTGGGTGGGTGCTGGACGCCGCCTCGCCACAGTGTGGGTGGGTGCCGGACGCCGCCTCACCACAGTGTGGGTGGGTGCCGGACGCCGCCTCGCCACAGTGTGGGTGGGTGCCGGACGCCGCCTCACCACAGTGTGGGTGGGTGCCGGACGCCGCCTCGCCACAGTGTGGGTGGGTGCCGGACGCCGCCTCGCCACAGTGTGGGTGGGTGCCGGACGCCGCCTCGCCACAGTGTGGGTGGGTGCCGGACGCCGCCTCGCCACAGTGTGGGTGGGTGCCGGACGCCGCCTCGCCACAGTGTGGGTGGGTGCCGGACGCCGCCTCGCCACAGTGTGGGGTGCTGGACGCCGCCTCGCCACAGTGTGGGTGGGTGCCGGACGCCGCCTCGCCACAGTGTGGGTGGGTGCTGGACGCCGCCTCGCCACAGTGTGGGTGGGTGCCGGACGCCGCCTCGCCACAGTGTGGGTGGGTGCCGGACGCCGCCTCGCCACAGTGTGGGTGGGTGCTGGACGCCGCCTCGCCACAGTGTGGGTGGGTGCCGGACGCCGCCTCGCCACAGTGTGGGTGGGTGCCGGACGCCGCCTCACCACAGTGTGGGTGGGTGCCGGACGCCGCCTCGCCACAGTGTGAGTGGGTGCTGGACGCCGCCTCGCCACAGTGTGGGTGGGTGCCGGACGCCGCCTCGCCACAGTGTGGGGTGCTGGACGCCGCCTCGCCACAGTGTGGGTGGGTGCCGGACGCCGCCTCGCCACAGTGTGGGTGGGTGCAGGACGCCGCCTCGCCCCCGTGTGGGTGGGTGCCGGACGCCGCCTCGCCACAGTGTGGGTGGGTGCCGGACGCCGCCTCGCCACAGTGTGGGTGGGTGCTGGACGCCGCCTCGCCACAGTGTGGGTGGGTGCCGGACGCCGCCTCGCCACAGTGTGGGTGGGTGCTGGACGCCGCCTCGCCACAGTGGTGGGTGCTGGACGCCGCCTCGCCACAGTGTGGGTGGGTGCTGGACGCCGCCTCGCCACAGTGTGGGTGGGTGCTGGACGCCGCCTCGCCACAGTGTGGGTGGGTGCTGGACGCCGCCTCGCCACAGTGTGGGTGGGGGCTGGACGCCGCCTCGCCACAGTGGGGGTGGGTGCTGGACGCCGCCTCGCCACAGTGTGGGGTGCTGGACGCCGCCTCGCCACAGTGTGGGTGGGTGCTGGACACCGCCTCGCCACAGTGTGGGGTGCTGGACGCCGCCTCGCCACAGTGTGGGAGGGTGCCGGACGCCGCCTCGCCACAGTGTGGGTGGGTGCTGGACGCCGCCTCGCCACAGTGTGGGAGGGTGCCGGACGCCGCCTCGCCACAGTGTGGGTGGGTGCAGGACGCCGCCTCGCCACAGTGTGGGTGGGTGCTGGACGCCGCCTCGCCACAGTGTGGGTGGGTGCTGGACGCCGCCTCGCCACAGTGTGGGTGGGTGCTGGACGCCGCCTCGCCACAGTGTGGGTGGGTGCTGGACGCCGCCTCGCCACAGTGTGGGTGGGTGCTGGACGCCGCCTCGCCACAGTGTGGGTGGGTGCTGGACGCCGCCTCGCCACAGTGTGGGTGGGTGCTGGACGCCGCCTCGCCACAGTGTGGGTGGGTGCTGGACGCCGCCTCGCCACAGTGTGGGGTGCTGGACGCCGCCTCGCCACAGTGTGGGTGGGTGCTGGACACCGCCTCGCCACAGTGTGGGGTGCTGGACGCCGCCTCGCCACAATGTGGGAGGGTGCCGGACGCCGCCTCGCCACAGTGTGGGTGGGTGCTGGACGCCGCCTCGCCACAGTGTGGGAGGGTGCCGGACGCCGCCTCGCCACAGTGTGGGAGGGTGCCGGACGCCGCCTCGCCACAGTGTGGGTGGGTGCCGGACGCCGCCTCGCCACAGTGTGGGTGGGTGCTGGACGCCGCCTCGCCACAGTGTGGGTGGGTGCTGGACGCCGCCTCGCCACAGAGTGGGTGGGTGCTGGACGCCGCCTCGCCACAGTGTGGGTGGGTGCTGGACGCCGCCTCGCCACAGTGTGGGTGCTGAATACATTGGGTGACGCGTGCTGTCTTCAGCAGCCTCAGACCCGCACGTCTAGTTATCACAACTTGGGATAACATGTGCTGGGCTCCTCAGAGCCATCTGCCACTGTCTGTGTGTCTGGTCGTGTATTAATCATGGGGAGCGCGTATATCTCGGGCCGCTCACTACAGGCAGCTCAGACAGCGATGAGACAGCTGAATAATGGCTGCGATCACAGATGCCTTAAATCCTTCCTATGTTAGAGGGGGTCGTATTAGCGAGCCGTCCGTGTTACAGATGAGCAGCTGGGCCCATGTCAGTCATATGCATCTCATACAAAAGTTTAACGTTGCAGCGCCTGAAATACATGTTTTGCAACACTGTTTCTAGGATTCTCTACAACCTACTGGGTTGAGTACTGTCAATAGTATGAGCGTATTGCCTACTACACTTCTGACTATCATTCCGGGCCATTCTTGACGCACAGAACACCCAACACTGACTTTCTACCGTATGGGACAGGCTGGAACACCCTTGGTCAATATCTCACCTTCCCCAGCACACCACCCACCACAGTTGACTGACTCCTAGGTATCTATTTACTATTAGGTGAGGAGAGGCATCAGGTGAAATAAAACTTGCCAAAATCTCTCTGGCCGGTCACGGGAATCGAACACTGGTCAGCTAGGTTTCATATTTTATGTAATTCTATGTAATGTAATGTATGTAATGTATTTATTAATTCAATATGAGGTGATAGATAAAGTATCATACTGGTCCCCTGATCCTGATACACAACCATACTGGTCTCCTGATCCTGATACACAACCATACTGGATCCTGATACACAACCATACTGGTCTCCTGATCCTGATACACAACCATACTGGCCCCCTGATCCTGATATACAACCATACTGGTCTCCTGATCCTGATACACAACCATACTGGTCTCTTGATCCTGATACACAACCATACTGGTCTCCTGATCCTGATACACAACCATACTGGTCTCCTGATCCTGATACACAACCATACTGGTCTCCTGATCCTGATACACAACCATACTGGTCTCCTGATCCTGATACACAACCATACTGGTCTCTTGATCCTGATACACAACCATACTGGTCTCCTGATCCTGATACACAACCATACTGGTCTCCTGATCCTGATACACAACCATACTGGTCTCCTGATCCTGATACACAACCATACTGGTCTCCTGATCCTGATACACAACCATACTGGTCCCCTGATCCTGATACACAACCATACTGGTCTCCTGATCCTGATACACAACCATACTGGTCTCCTGATCCTGATACACAACCATACTGGTCTCCTGATCCTGATACACAACCATACTGGTCCCCTGATCCTGATACACAACCATACTGGTCCCCTGATCCTGATACACAACCATACTGGTCCCCTGATCCTGATACACAACCATACTGGTCCCCTGATCCTGATACACAACCATACTGGTCTCCTGATCCTGATACACAACCATACTGGTCTCCTGATCCTGATACACAACCATACTGGTCCCCTGATCCTGATACACAACCATACTGGTCCCCTGATCCTGATACACAACCATACTGGTCTCCTGATCCTGATACACAACCATACTGGTCCCCTGATCCTGATACACAACCATACTGGTCTCCTGATCCTGATACTCAACCATACTGGTCTCCTGATACTCAACCATACTGGTCCCCTGATCCTGATACACAACCATACTGGTCTCCTGATCCTGATATACAACCATACTGGTCTCCTGATCCTGATACACAACCATACTGGTCTCCTGATCCTGATACACAACTCCCGAAATTGAATTGCTATTATAATTTTAATTTATATTTTAATTACGCCAATTTCCCTTTGTCACAGTATAGATAACCAAAGCACCCGTGGTGCCAGAGCACCAGTGGTGCCAGGGCACTAGTGGTGCCAGAGCACCAGTGGTGCCAGGGCACTAGTGGTGCCAGAGCACCAGTGGTGCCAGGGCACTAGTGGTGCCAGAGCACCAGTGGTGCCAGGGCACTAGTGGTGCCAGAGCACCAGTGGTGCCAGAGCACCAGTGGTGCCAGGGCAGTAGTGGTGCCAGAGCACCCGTGGTGCCAGAGCACCCGTGGTGCCAGAGCACCCACGGGTGCCAGAGCACCACGGGTGCCAGAGCACCAGTGGTGCCAGAGCACCAGTGGTGCCAGAGCACCAGTAGTGCCAGAGCACCAGTAGTGCCAGAGCACCAGTAGTGCCAGAGCACCACGGGTGCCAGAGCACCACGGGTGCCAGAGCACCACGGGTGCCAGAGCACCACGGGTGCCAGAGCACCAGTGGTGCCAGAGCACCAGTGGTGCCAGCGCACCAGTAGTGCCAGAGCACCAGTAGTGCCAGAGCACCAGTAGTGCCAGAGCACCAGTAGTGCCAGAGCACCACGGGTGCCAGAGCACCAGTGGTGCCAGAGCACCAGTAGTGCCAGAGCACCACGGGTGCCAGAGCACCAGTTGTGCCAGAGCACCAGTGGTGCCAGAGCACCAGTTGTGCCAGAGCACCAGTGGTGCCAGAGCACCAGTTGTGCCAGAGCACCAGTGGTGCCAGAGCACCAGTGGTGCCAGGCAGGGCAGGTGCCCGCGCCTCGTTAAGAATGACTAAGACTCCGGAAAATGAATTAGTCTCAGAGATAAAAGTTCTCTCACGATTATAAGCGCTCACCCGACACCAAAATCAATCCGCTTTTGGCAAGTGGAGTTGTAGTGATCAAAGTCCAGCAGGACTCCCAGCAGACGTCGGGCAAATGTCTGCTGGGAGGACATGTGGATGATGTGTGGAGGACGGCGGCCACACCAGCGGTGCGCAATGTTTGGAAATACAAAAAGCGGGTCCAGGTGTGACCTCCCACTTTGGGGGGGGGGGGTAGTGAGGGGATGGTACGGGTGGCAGCGTTGAGCAGAGCAGCGCGTCAGTACTCCTCTGACTGGTGTGGGGAGAGGTCGCTCGCCGCCCTCCTGAACCCCTGTGCTCCCCTCTCCTGCCCTCAGCTCAGTGTCCCCTCAGTAACCAGAAGCGGCTGTCTGGCAGCCACATGGCTCCTTAAGTAACACGGACGTGCAGTGATTGGCCTCATTATCGTTTATCAAAGGAAGAAAGATAATTTGATTAGTTATTTCGCTCAATGCTTTCCTGGCCATGTCATAATCGCTGAGAGCCGCATACTTTCGTCCAATACCATACTTGTGGTAGGAAGAATAGCGCTGAAAGTCTTGCTTCTTGTGTGGAGCCCCAGAGTATACACGACGAGTGTATGAGTGTGAGGAGTGGCGGTGTTGTGAGTACTCTCGCCTCGTACTCTGCCTCATCAACTTTGTACCGTGTTAGAGTGAAATATTGATTGTTGAGTGCGTGCATCTGACGAAGTATGGAGAGTAACGCACCCCTGTCACACTCTCTTGAACATGAACTACTGACACCAACAGGCCGTTGAACATGAACTACTGACACCAAAAGTCCGTTGAACATGAACTAGAGACCAACACCTTCACTGCTAAACATACACCCGCGCCAGATGAGTGGAATACATGTCTCCATCACCAATACATTTCGCAGATATTAAAAAAAGGTATGTGCTAGTACTTGTTCATTGTTGAGGTCACTGTTGTGGTCACTGTTGTGGGTACTCATATAGCTGTACTCACCTAGTTGTGCTTGCAGAGGTTGAGCTTTGGCTCTTTGATCCCGCCTCTCAACTGTCAATCAACTGGTGTACAGGTTCCTGAGCCTACTGGGCTCTATCATATCTACATTTGAAACTGTGTATGGAGTCAGCCTCCACCACATCACTGCCTAATGCATTCATTCCACCTGGTAACTACTCTTGACACTGAAAAAGTACTTTCTAACGTCTCTGTGGCTCATTTGGGTACTCAGTCTCCACCTGTGTCCCCTTGTTCGCGTCCCACCAGTGTTGAACAATTTATCCTTGTCTACCCTGTCAATTCCTCTGAGATTTTTGTAGGTTGTGATCATGTCTACCCTTACTCTTCTGTCTTCCAGTGTCGTAAGGTGCATTTCCCGCAGCCTTTCCTCGTAACTCATGCCTCTTAGTTCTGGGACTAGTCTAGTGGCATACCTTTGGACCTTGTCCAGCTTCGTCTTGTGCTTGATAAGGTACGGGCTCCATGCTGGGGCTGCATACCTGTAATTTGAAATGAAATCGACTCACAAAAGTGACGTACTCCCCCGTTTTCTGTTTGAGTCGTCCGGCTTACTCGGACAGCTTAGAAGAGGCAACTTTTCATTAACGTTTTTCATACCATTGTGAAACTTTGAGAATTTCCTGCCCACCTAACCTATCAGAGGACCCTTAACTTACTGTTGTTAAAAAAAATCCCAAATTTATTTTCATTTATTTTTTATTTTCAAATTACGTCCACATTCGGCCATACGGGCAAACGGCCAAAAGCGACGTTCTTTTTAAGAGGACAGGTTGAGTACGCCCCTAGCCGCATGCTGAGGGCTACTGTTGTGGGTGTTGTGGTCACTGTTGTGGTCATTGTTGTGGGTGTTGTGGTCACTGTTGTAGTTATTGTTGTGGTCACTGTTGTAGATATTGTTGTGGTCACTGTTGTGGGTGTTGTCACTGTTGTAGTCACTGTTGTGGGTGTTGTGATCATTGTTGTGGTCACTGTTGTGGGTGTTGTGGTCACTGTTGTAGTTATTGTTGTGGTCACTGTTGTAGATATTGTTGTGGTTGTTGTGGTCACTGTTGTAGTTATTGTTGTGGTCACTGTTGTAGTTATTGTTGTGGTCACTGTTGTAGTTATTGTTGTGGTCACTGTTGTAGATATTGTTGTGGTTGTTGTGGTCACTGTTGTAGTTATTGTTGTGGTCACTGTTGTAGTTATTGTTGTGGTCACTGTTGTGGGTGTTGTTGTGGACACTGTTGTAGTTATTGTTGTGGTCACTGTTGTAGTTATTGTTGTGGTCACTGTTGTAGTTATTGTTGTGGACACTGTTGTAGTTATTGTTGTGGTCACTGTTGTGGGTGTTGTGGTCACTGTTGTGGGTGTTGTGGTCACTGTCGTGGGTGTTGTGGTCACTGTCGTGGGTGTTGTGGTCACTGTTAAGGGCGTTGTGGTCACTGTTGTGGGTGTTGTGGTCACTGTCGTGGGTGTTGTGGTCACTGTTGTGGGCGTTGTGGTCACTGTTGTGGATGTTGTCGTTACTTGTGGGTGTTGTAGTTACTGTTGTGGTCACTGTTGTAGTCACTGCTGTGGGTGTTGTGGTCTCTGTTGTGACCACTGTTGTGGGTGTTGTAGTCACTGTCGTGGGTGTTGTGGTCACTGTCGTGGATGTTGTGGTCACTGTTGAGGGTGTTGTGGACACTGTTGTGGAAACTGTTGTGGTCACTGTTGCGGGTGTTGTGGTCACTGTTGCGGGTGTTGTGGTCACTGTTGTGGGTGTTGTGATCACTGTTATGGTCACTGTTGTGGGTGTTGTGATCACTGTTGTTGGTATTGTGATCACTGTTGTGGGTGTTGTGATCACTGTTGTGGGTGTTGTGATCACTGTTGTGGGTGTTGTGATCACTGTTGTGGGTGTTGTGGTCACTGTTGTGGGTGTTGTGGTCACTTGTGGATGTTGTGGTCACTGGTGTGGTTGTGGATGTTGTGGTCACTGTTGTGTTCACTGTTGTGGGTGTTGTGATCACTGTTGTGGGTGTTGTGGCCATTGTTGTGGGTGTTGTGGTCACTGTTGTGGTCACTGTTGTGGGTGCTGTGGTCACTGTTGAGGTCATTGTTGTGGGTGTTGTGGTCACTGTTGTGGGTGTTGTGGTCACTGTTGTGGGTGTTGTGGTCACTGTCGTGGGTGTTGTGGTCACTGTCGTGGGTGTTGTGGTCACTGTCGTGGGTGTTGTGGTCACTGTTGTGGGTGTTGTGGTCACTGTTGTGGATGTTGTCGTTACTTGTGGATGTTGTGTCATTGTTGTGTCATTGTTGTGTCATTGTTGCGTGTGTGGTCACTGTTGTGGATGTTGTCGTTACTTGTGGGTGTTGTAGTTATTGTTGTGGTCACTGTTGTGGTCAATGTTGTGGTCACTGTTGTAGTCATTGTTGTGGGTGTTGTGGTCACTGTTGTGGGTGTTGTGATCACAGTTGTGGTCACTTGTGGTCACTGTTGTAGATGTTAACACTTGTGGATGTTGTGGTCCCTGTTGTGTGTTGTTGTCACTGTTGTGATCACTGTTGTGGTCATTGTTGTGGTTGTGGTCACTGTTGTAGGTGTTGTGGTCACTGTTGTGAGTGTTGTGGTCACTGTTGTGGTTGTGGTCACTGTTGTGGGTGTTGTAGTCCCTGTTGTGGGTGTTGTGGTCACTGTTGTGGGTGTTGTGGTCACTGTTGTGGGTGTTGTGGTCACTGTTGTGGGTGTTGTGGTCACTGTTGTGGGTGTTGTGGTCACTGTTGTGGGTGGTGTGGTCACTGTTGTGTGTGGTGTGGTCACTGTTGTGGGTGTTGTGATCACTGTTGTGGGTGTTGTGATCACTGTTATGGTCACTGTTGTGGATGTTGTCACTTGTGGGTGGTGGGGTCACTGTTAAGGGTGTTGTGGTCACTGTTGTGGGTGTTGTGATCACTGTTGTGGTCACTGTTGTGGGTGTTGTCACTGTTGTGGGTGTTGTGGTCACTGTCGTGGGTGTTGTGGTCACTGTTGTGGGTGTTGTCACTGTTGTGGGTGTTGTGGTCACTGTTGTGGGTGGTGTGGTCACTATTGTGGTTGTTGTGATCACTGTTGTGGTCACTGTTGTGGGTGTTGTAGTCAGTTGTGGGTGGCGTGGTCACTGTTATGGGCGTTGTGGTCACTGTTGTGTGTGTTGTGGTCACTGTTGTGGGTGTTGTGATCACTGTTGTGGGTGTTGTGATCACTGTTGTGGTCACTGTTGTGGGTGGTGTGGTCACTGTTGTGGGTGGTGTGGTCACTGTTGTGGGTGTTGTGATCTCTGTTGTGGTCACTGATGTGGGTGTTGTAGTCACTGTTGTGGTCACTGATGTAGGTGTTGTAGTCACTGTTGTGGGTGTTGTAGTCACTGTTGTCGTCACTTGTGGGTGTTGTGGTCACTGCTGTGGGTATACCTCTCACTGTTCACTGCTATTGGTATACCTCTCACTGTTCACTGCTGTGGGTATACCACTCACTGTTCTCTACTGTGGGTATACCACTCACTGTTCACTGCTGTGGGTATACCACTCACTGTTCACTGCTGTGGGTATACCACTCACTGTTCACTGCTGTGGCTATACCACTCACTGTTCACTGCTGTGGGTATACCACTCACTGTTCACTGCTGTGGGTATACCACTCACTGTTCACTGCTGTGGGTATACCACTCACAGTTCACTGCTGTGGGTATACCACTCACTGTTCACTGCTGTGGGTATACCACTCACTGTTCACTGCTGTGGGTATACCACTCACTGTTCACTGCTGTGGGTATACCACTCACTGTTCACTGCTGTGGGTATACCACTCACTGTTCACTGCTGTGGGTATACCACTCACAGTTCACTGCTGTGGGTATACCACTCACTGTTCACTGCTGTGGGTATACCACTCACTGTTCACTGCTGTGGGTATACAACTCACTGTTTACTGCTGTGGGTATACCTCTCACTGTTCACTGCTGTGGGTATACCTCTCACAGTTCACTGCTGTGGGTATACCACTCACTGTTCACTGCTGTGGGTATACCACTCACTGTTCACTGCTGTGGGTATACCACTCACTGTTCACTGCTGTGGGTATACCACTCACTGTTCACTGCTGTGGGTATACCACTCACTGTTCACTGCTGTGGGTATACCACTCACTGTTCACTGCTGTGGGTATACCACTCACTGTTCACTGCTGTGGGTATACCACTCATTGTTCACTGCTGTGGGTATACCACTCACTGTTCACTGCTGTGGGTATACCACTCACTGTTCACTGCTCTGGGAACTCGCACTAAAATCCAGCTCACATAAGGAAAGTCGTGTTTCGTAAAGACCTTTATTATTTCAGGTGAATTTTTTTCGTTTCACTCGATGACTAATGTGAACCTCACTCAGTGTGGAGGATTGTGCCTCACTCAGTGTGGAGGATTGTGCCTCACTCGGTGTGGAGGATTGTGCCTCACTCAGTGTGGAGGAGGATTGTGCCTCACTCAGTGTGGAGGATTGTGCCTCACTCAGTGTGGAGGATTGTGCCTCACTCAGTGTGGAGGATTGTGCCTCACTCAGTGTGGAGGATTGTGCCTCACTCGGTGTGGAGGATTGTGCCTCGCTCAGTGTGGAGGAGGATTGTGCCTCACTCAGTGTGGAGGATTGTGCCTCACTCAGTGTGGAGGAGGATTGTGCCTCACTCAGTGTGGAGGAGGATTGTGCCTCACTCAGTGTGGAGGATTGTTCCTCACTCAGTGTGGAGGATTGTGCCTCGCTCAGTGTGGAGGAGGATTGTGCCTCACTCAGTGTGGAGGAGGATTGTGTCTCACTCAGTGTGGAGGAGGATTGTGCCTCACTCAGTGTGGAGGATTGTGCCTCACTCAGTGTGTAGAATTGTGCCTCACCCAGTGTGGAGGAGGAT